AAGAACATCATATGACTACTAACGCCTCATACCAGCTGTCAAGCACAGTGGTGGTGATTTGGGTTTGTTTTGCAGCCACTGTGTCAACCATAAACATTTGTATAACAAAATATTCAAGATATTAATGTGAGGTCAAATGTCCAACAGCTTAAGCTTGTTCCAAATTGGGTCATACAAAAGACACCAACAAATCTACAACAGAATATCTGAAAAAGAAAAGGTTTTTCCGTGGAGAAGTGGAAGTCCAGACCTCAACCTGAAACTGTATTCCTCCAGAAATATGCAAGAGACTAGTACAGAAAAGGATTACTTCAAGTTAGTCAAGTAACTGTTATTCTACCAGAGTCATTTTTACTTAGGTTATTACTTAGGTAACAACACAGTTTAATATGTTAAACCTGCTATGTAAAAACCTTAGAATTGAGATGCTCTTTTTGGGGGGTGGGGGGGGGGGGGGGGTACTTTCTTTTTACCATGACTGTATTGTATGATTTACAAATTACAAAGTGGACAGAAGTTTGTTGTATTCACCAGCAGAACTGTCCATCAGCTTGAAAGGCAGGCATATGCTCGTCAATTCAACAAGCGTCCAGGCTTCTGAAGTGTCCTTGAGGAAGACAATGAATCCCTACCAGCTTCTAGGGTGCACTCTGTCACTGATACTTGACCTCAGACCTCGCTGGAGAGAAGGCCAAATAGATGTTCAGAAAACAGAACTCTCCTTGAGTGATGAATAGATTCAAAACAAATGGCACATTCTCTTCAAGGCTGATGTTTTGTCAAACCTAACCAGTCAGTGAGATGAGCACTTTGAGGAAAAAAAAACTGTCTCCATCATTCTTGCTTAAAGGAGAGTGAATGGTGCCAGGGCTGAGCAACACACACCTGTGCTAGGAGAATAAAATGCACACTAATTCCCTGAGGTCTTTAGATGTAAGGACCAACTTAAATGTGCAAGGCAGAGCAAGATTACACGCCAACAGCTACAACTCAGTATTTTATTTACAGAGCGCGTACAAGGCTCCTGAGACACACTCTTGTGCTACTTTAGCACAAGAACGTGTTGGATATGAGCCTCTGATCAGTAAGTCACTGTAAACAGAACGGCTTCAAGGAGTGACTGTTGGTTACATTACAGATCAGTCTGGTATTTGAATGCTGTAAATATGATTACACCCAAGTTGCTTTCTTTTAACTCTGTTTAATGTTACTACCATAACTTTACTTAATATACTAGTTCATAATACATAGATTATATATAAAACATAATATATAGGTTAAGAAATCAAATGTAAATCATCATATTAATGCAAGAAACAGGAATTAGATGTAATCATTAACACCAGCTTAATTGGCACTAAAAACACAATTTTTCTTATGTATGATAACTTATTCTTTTTTCTCAGTTTTTCACAGGGTTTGCTGCAATGATTCTGTAAATTATGTGACACAAATAGTAACATTTTTTTTTATATATTATCGCAGATGGGTCCAAAAGGCTTTTAAGACCACACTTTACTAATAGTGGGTTTTTATATAGATCTGGTATACTGTGGAGCTACCTGCTGCTGTGATAATAGACAAACCTAATGAATTTCATTTTTAATTATTACACAAATGAGATTTTTTTTAAAAAGATCTCGATAACTGCGCTACAATAAATGAATTCAATTTGAAGGAGTCGTGTTTCCATGATTTTATCAGGCCTCGATATGCGTGAGTGTTCAGGCAGGTGTTTGTCTTTCTGGACACATTTTGTCAGCACAAAAGCATCACAGTCATGGACGTGCGGTTAACGTCACAGTGAAGGCTTAAAGTAAAGATGTTGTATAATAACTCACTGGTGTTCAGATCTAAGTTAATCAGAAAACTAGTGAGTGAAATCATTTTACACACAGCTCTGATTTACAAATGTTGTCATTTCTGCCCATTGAAGCTCCAGTTATATCAACACAGCTGTGCTATGCTGATGACGCTGAAGATGTGCTGTCGAACAAAGGGTCTCAGATTTGGATTAGTGGTGACTGACTTAACCAGTTTCACATCTGCTTTGGGTTTCCTCCCCCCACTAATTAAATGGACACTCCAAAATTAAGCAGCACCCATTATAGTTAGTGTGAGAACTGATATGGAACTTTTCAACATTCCCTGGAATAAAATGAAAGCATCCCTAATGCACAGCTGACAAATACTGTGTGCGCAATCTCAATTAGTGGAACTGTTTCAGAGTGGCACTAATTAAATAAATATAGATTTAAAAAGCAGTCAGTACTGCTGTAGGTAGCGTGGATATTTGCATGCTTGCATATATTGTGTATCCATCTGTGTTTGCCACAGAGGCTAATGTGTGCACATCACGTGTGTGTTCCACAGGAAGAACTTGAATGCGTGTTTGTGTAACCCTATTTAGGCTAAATTATGAGTTTCTCATTAGCAACAGTATAAATATTTGTGTGTGCAGTGCAGATCTTGCTGTGAAAGCAGCTTGCTGCCTTTGAACAATAAAATATCATCTGCTTATCAGCAAAATGGAGCGCATTTCCAAACCCTGGAACAGACAGACAGACGACAACAGATGTTAGGGATGAGGCGTATGCGTGTTTCCAGCGTTCTTATCATGTTTACACTTAGGATTGTGGTAAGTGAGGCTTTTGACATGTGGATCATTTAACTGTGTTAACATGCAGCCCACTCCATACCACAGCTGGAATTTCAAGGCTTTTGTGCTTCCCCCCCCCCCCCTTTTCCCCCCCTCTTCATGCATGTTTCATACAGATATACAGTCAAAATCACTCACACAAGCATTTTACAGTTTTCTTCACATATGCCTCACGCAATTGCATCCAAGCTGTCTGACACACTGCAGACAGAAGTCTTTCTTTCCTTTTCCATTTTTTTTTTTTTTTTTTGACATCTCACTTAACTCGGCCCCATACCCAGTAAAAGAAAATTAGATTATTTTGTGTGCTCCTTCATTAGTCAATCTAGATTCACAGAGCTTCAAATTAAATGGATATCATTGTACATTTTACTTTTAACTTATTAATTTGACTTGAGCAAAGGTAACTTCAGCTGTTGCAAATGCTGCAGTAATTGTATGTTGCATGAGTTTTTGTCTTTTATATATACTGCAGAGACATTCAACACTGATCATTACTTAAGAATATATGTATGTATCTCTAGTGTTTTGTTTGAGAAGTCAGATACAATACAATGGAAGTAATTAGAAATACCAGCTTTTTTTAAAGATAATTCTGATTTCTGAATCATGGGGTTACTTAACCTTATTTCTTATTCTATTCTTTCTTTCTTATTCTATATGTTAAATTTGACCTTTTAAATACAGTTTTTCTTTTTTGTTTTTTTGCATATTCAAATTTCCTTTCTGAGAAATGTAACTGACAGCATACACATACAATACACTTTTCTTCAATGTAGAATTTTACTTTCATTATAAAAAATTATTAAACCTGACAATTTCTCCCAAACTGCAGTAAGTTACAGGATCCTCTCTCAACTGAAAATGTAGTAACTGTACACCCAATGTTGCTTGGCATATTTTAGCTTATCAAACAAAAACAGATGCAACAGATTTTATATAACATAACAAATGTCAGTTATTTGCTGGACAGTAGCTTTTTGGTTGATTTTTCATTTATAACCTGTGATCTATAATCTACTTCATAGTCAGTAACAACCCTTGTTGCACATTGTTTTTGATTTCTTTTCTGTGAGTTTCAATATTGACTTTTAGGGGCAGGGGAAAATCTATTAATTATCAAGCTATTTTGCATGGCAATACAGTGTAAATACCAGGAGACAAATAAATTTCTGTTAAATATGAATTTCTGTCTACATAGACAACAACAGATATGCGATTCTCATTCTCAGTTTATCACAGGTAATTGATATATTATCAGAAACCCATTGCATTTTTTTTGCCAACTTGACCCCATTCAATTACAGACTGATATCAGACCCATAGCAGACTGTCTGTCTTATGGCAACGTATAAGGCGTGCTTTTAAAACAGTGTTGGTTCAGTGCTTGACAATCTAAAATGAGACAAACTGAAATGAGATCTTTATCTTCTTGGATAAAACAGATACTAACAAAGTTAAACTTTGGGGCACTGTGATAAACGTATGATACTATAATACTCAGCATATCAAGAACTGTTAAAAATCACAATAACATTGGATTGAGTGAAGTATTGCAGTAAGGTATTGTGAGATGCCCGGTGCTTCCCTCCTTTGAGGTGGATCAGCTAAACCTAAGTGACACTGGGTCATATAACAGGACAGTGGCAAATGTACAACAGAATGACTGAAAAAGAAAAGAGCCGAGGTGATGCAATGGCCTAGTCAAAGTCCAGACCTCAGCCTGGTTGAAATGCTGTGGCAGGACCTTAAAACAGTTGTGGACCACAGTGAAATGAAAGACACTGTAAAGAACACCGGACCAAAATTCCTCCACAGAGATGTGAGAGACTGATGGTGATATAGAAACTGTTTGCTTCAAATTGTTGCTGTGAAAGGTACTGAAGAACTTGGTTTTTCACAGACCTGCACAGAGCGCTGTTGAAGTTTTCTTTTTCACATAACTAATCTACAGAGACTGTACAGTGAGCAGCTTTTAGTAGTGTATTTCAGTGCTGTGTTGCACTGAAATACACTAAAAATCATTACAAAAACATGGATCATAAACATGGTATAGTTATTGTTGTATCACCAGTTTTCTTCTGTGCAAAAATGCATTCAAAGGGAGAACTAGCAGCTTTCATTAAATACGTAACCTGACTATATTTCGACATATTTATTGCATTAATGCACTGAAAACACAGCCTCAGGTCTGTGATAGAAATCAGTAGTGAGCTTCCTCAGCACTATTCAGAACTTTACCCATTCCTGATTATTTTTTAATCATTTTTTTCTTTCCTCCTTACCATCCTCCATCTTCCTGACACTTTCTGCATCTGTGTTACTTCTGTTGTGTGTACAGGGTATGGTTTTGTGGACTTCGACAGCCCTGCAGCAGCTCAGAAGGCTGTGGCCTCGCTCAAAGCCAGCGGAGTCCAGGCACAGATGGCAAAGGTAAGCTCCGTCACACGCTCCAGTCTGTGGTCTGATTAACTTGGTGTTGATGAGGTGGTGTTGTAACTCCTGAAGAAAACTGATTATAATAGATGGTGAGATTACTTTTTTAATAGCTTGCGATGACATAAATGAGATGATCAAAACTTTTGCCGTGACCGCTTGGTTTACACGCGAGCAATACTTTTGGGTTGACTCGAGACTGACAGGTGCAGGTTTGCTTGAGTCGGTTTGAGATTACTGATCGAATTAGTCCTGGAGTTAATTTTTTCATGGCAAGCAAACAAAATGACGCAGATTAAGGCTTGACTGCCTTCCTACATTCCCACAATCTTTCTTTGCTTTTTGGTCTTATGTGGCCCTTTAGTAATGCTCTGTTTTATTTTCAAAAACGTGTGTGAAAGACAGATGAGATTAGAGAAAGTGGGTGTTTGTTAAATTTATATCCTTATGTTAGTATATCTTATAAGACTGCATAGTAGCAGGGAACACGCCTATCTTTCTTTTCTCTTAAGGAAAGCATGCAGGTTAATCTGCAGTGTGCGCATGTGTGCATGTTAGAGGACAACAATGCTGTGACGAAACTTGGACCTAACCAGCACAATCACATTATCCTGCCTGAGAGAAAGACAGAGAGACAGTGAATAGCCTGTCTTGTTTTCAGATTCATTAAAGCTGTATTGCTGCATACTTCCTTTTCTAAATGAGAGAGGAGTGCAATTAAAAATAGGCCAGTCTTCAGGCACCAAGAGCATCCCATTGAATTAAACAGCAGCAAGCCTTTGAGCCACCTTTGCCTTGCTCTTCTATTAAACCTCTTTTCATTAGACTTCCATCTCTTATTTTGTTCGTAACGGCTTAGGGGTGGTGGGTGGGGGGGTATTGGGATAGGGAGGAGCAGGGTTGATGTGTTTAGCTGTTATAGAGGGGAGAACCCTCGACTCCTTGGAGATTGAGTTCTCTGGAGGGATGGAACGGAGGGCAAAGAGTCCATTTCAAATGAAATTACAGACTTCTTCCAGTTTCATGAACTAATTATGCAGAAGAGCTGCTGACGTCCCACATAACTTTCCCAGATCAGTGAGCAGTAAATAAATCTTACAGTCTTAAAACACTGATGGAGGATGTTCCATCTCAAGCCTAACCTTGAACATTTTGTAAGTTGAGCAACTTTTTTTTTTAAATTAGAGAGACTGACAATTGAAAACTTATAGCAGTACAATGAGATTTTGTGTAGGCTAGCTGAGACGGTAAGCTTTGATGTTGCGTCTAATCTGCAAGATAGTTGAGTCTTTCAAACAAAGTGAAGGGCGGAGAGAGAGAGAGAGAGAGATGATCAGCTTGTTTTAAAGAGGGATGAAACATCTAAGACAAATATTACCTATTTTGGGGTTTCGGGATGTTTGGATAGCGTCACTACTGAGCCAGTGCTGGCCTTAAATGTCATAGCATCCAATCTGCAAAGATAAATCTAGCCAAGCATGCCATATGCATATTACGTTTAAATATCTGAAAACATATTCTGTGTTGAAAGCAATTGTTCAGATAAATAAAGGCAGGCTTATAATCCCATATTGAGAACATAAATGGTGTGGGATATTTCATGATGCTCCCTGAAGCTCTTTACGTACATTTTTCCTACTTGTATCAAAGTCTCATAGTGTTGATCTATGCAGCCTATACAGTATAAAAATTATATCTCACAACTTTATATTCTTATTTTATAGTTACTCCCAGCTACCAGGAAGCACAGAGGCTTACTATATTCTGATACAGTAAAAAGCATGAGATCTACTGCCTTTTAAAACTGATTGGAAGAGACTTGAACATAGTAACTGGGGATAGAATAGGTTTTGAGAGGAAGTACTATATCATTGACCTTGTTTGGAAGGATGAATAAAAAAAAATGAATCTGTAGAGACAAGAAGAGCATGGAAATTGCTTATCTGTGGATCTGGTTCTTAAAATATCTTTTCTCTTTTCCTTTCTTTATATTAAAAAAAAGGAAAAGGCAAACATGATTGTGAATCTACAGATCCCAGGATCTAGGTTTTGCTTAACTTCCTCTGCAACGGTATAAATAGTTAAAAGTTGTGTTGTATAAAAAACCACTTTTAAGAGCCATTGTTGGACAAATAAATCTACACGGGAGACGAGATGATATGTCATAGATGTAAGCATTTGTGCCTACAGGAGCTCAGAAGAGAAATGGACTACACCACATAATGCTTATAGCCATCCCTAGTGTTATCTGCGTGTTTGTTTAAATGCCGAACCAGCAGTTTGGTCAGTCAAGACAACGAATCAGAAATGTCAGACAGGTTTATACACATGACAGACGACAGAAACGAATCAATGGGCAGCAGGAAAACCAAACACGGGAACCATCATGCTGCATGTCAGATAATTTAAGAGATGTAGGGGGCTTGTGCTGAGAGGTTGCATTTAGGGCAAGACGCTGGAAATAGCTTAAAATAGAGCTGGAAGCAGCAGTATATGTCACAGTGTAAGCAGTCTGTGTTAGCCATGATTACAGTAACTTCCTGACATCACTCATGAATTAATTAGAGCACAGTTGAAGCAAGATTAGACTGCTAGTGTGTATATAACTGGATTTACTGCGAGAAACCTTTATCCATTAAACCCTGCAGCTTGCACTGACATCTTCTTTTGTAGCAGGTGCATGCTTTGGTTGTGAAATAAATGAGACGAGAAGAAAACACAGCAAGCCAAGATGAGAGAAGAGACAAGAAACTGTGTGTATGTGCGTGTGTCCTATACTCACTTCCTCAGTCTTCTTGGTAATTACTGTTGACCTGAAAGATGATTACTTCTACAGCTGTACTCCCTCACGCTCTCGCCAGCTCACTCACAGTTAGTTTTTCTGTCTCCCAGCCTCATTCTTGCTTTCTTTTTGTAAGAGTATCTGTAGGTTGAATCCCCCTAACATTATTACACAGAGTACAGCGAATGATTTAAATTCTAGCTCTGATTTTTAACCAATATGTGAATCGGTGCTTCTCTGCATTTTATGCACTACAAAATGTTTTGTGAAAAGCATGTGTAGCCCTGTAAGAACATTCAGCAATGTGAAAGTATTGAATATTAACATTCATATCAGGGCATTATTTTATTTTGCAAACACAAAATCACCTAAGCCCGTGTGTGTGTGTGTGTGTGTGTGCGCGTGGGTGGGTGGGTATATAATAACAGTTACACAGGGCCAAGGTCACTATGCTAATTAGAGAGATGGTACTACTGGCAGTGACACTTCACACCTCCCTCCCTTATTCTCTCCCTTCTTTCTTCTCCCCTCCACTTTGTCCTTGGCACCTCCTGTCTTTGTATTCACTTCTCTCTCTCTCTTTTTTAACCCCCAATCCCACCATTTAATCCTATTTTAGGGGTTGGTTTAGTTGCTCCCCCCACGCGCGCACACACACACACACACACACACACACACACACACACACACACACACACACACACACCCTCCCCATTTCCTCTGTTGTACATTCCCCCCAAACCATGTGTGTATGTGTGCAGCAGGTGCTGCAATGCCTCCTCCAGAGTCGTTAGTTACAGGGTTGAGAAAGGACAGTGTGTGAAGGGTAGAAAGAAAACGGGCACTCGTAAAGTTAACGACACTGGTTGACTGTCATTTATCTGCCTCTTTTTTTTTTCTTTTCTTTCTTTCTTTCATTCTTTCTTACCTTTCTTCCTTCGCTCCCCCGGACTTTATTTACCGATAGAAACGGTGTGTGCAAGCTTTCTTGCATGTGTACTGCTTTTATGTGGCTGTCTGTGTGTGTCTGACAGCTGAGGTTAGTGATGGGAAGAGGTGGCCAGCAGGACCAACTGAGACATAAAATAAAGATGAACCAGACAAAAACACATACACAGGAAGACAAGAGCATTTCTTTTTCCCCCCACTCTGCTTCCTGCTTGTCTATCACTCTGTTACCCGTTTGTTTCTAACCTGTTTGTTTTTTTCCTCTTCTTTTTTTTCTTTCAGCCATTTGTTTGAGTGTATTTTTTATTTTGTCAGCCAGATATACAGTAATACACCTGAATACTTTCACCAGCCAGCACATATAATGTAAATGTTGGTGTTATTCTGCTTTGTAAAGAGCAGCCTGTGACTGAAAAGCCGAGTTTTAAATTGAAAACCCTGGGCTAGGTGATAATGGTAATGTTCCTTTCTTCTGTTGTAAAATCTGAAGTGACCCATCTCTTTAGAGGACTCTTTTTATAAACTATGTAGATTATTTTTGAATACACAGCTATGACAAAGAAGGTTGTCTCTGTGCAGTTAAACAAAATGTATTTGGATTCTCTATTTGTGTTCAGAGATATCAACTATAATATTTCTATATTCTTTAAAAAAAAACATGCCATCAACTTGCATTGCAAGTTGCTCAGATCTGAGTGGTTAAGGATGTTATAAAGCTGAATTTACTGTCTTTTTGTTAGACCTGACAGCCCCTAGCCAAACAATAGCAGGAAGAGGACATTCAGGAGGAGGACAGAAAGGAAAATAGGAATGGGAGGGATCCTAGTGAGTGAAACCCAATCGAATTAAATGTAATCTGGCCTGAATGTGCACAACCATCAGCTGCTTTCCAATCATATTAACCCTGCATTACCATCCCTTGGCTTTGTGTGTGCGCGTGTATGTGCATGTGTCTTTTTATGTTAGTGTGCGTAGAGGGTGATGGGAGAGAGATGTAGGAGTTAAGTGGATAAGTGAGAAAACAAAAGAAAGAGATGGACTGGATGGGGGAGAGAGCGTGAGAGGCAGGGAGACTGAGAGGAAAATGAAGATGAATATAGGTGTTTGGGTGATTAATGCGCCGCTGTTGCATTGCTAATGAAAAAATATTTCTCATCATTACAGTAATCATGATAATTCCTAGTGACACACAACAGTTTCTTCATTTTACTGCTTTACTAAGTTGTGTATTATGCCATCAAAAAAGATTACTTACACAACAGTAAAT